ACTATTAATATAGTAAAAGAAGAATAACGTAAATATATATTAAAAAAAGTTATAATTGGTTAAATGATAAGTTGTAAGTATAAATTAAAACAATTTAAATTAAAATAATAATAAATTATAAATGATTATAAGTAAAATATTATAGTTATAATAAGTGGAAAATATAATAATAAACTATTAAGTCTATGCTTAGTATTATAAGTTAATAAGTAAAACTATAGTAACTAAGCTAACAAACTATATAGATATATAAAAATAATAATAGTAATAATACTAGTAGCAATAATAACTATTATAATAACAATAATAAAAACAATAATAAGTATATATAATAATAAACAATAATATATATAATAATAAATAATATATATATATATATAAATAATATATATATAATAAATAATATATATATAATAAATAATAATATATAATAATAAATAATAATATATATAATAATAAACAGTATAAGATAAAAAAGAAAAAATTAATGAAAACAAGCAAGAAAAGCTAGAAAAAAAAAAATAAATAATATTCAAAAATAAGAATAGTTACATTAATAGCATAATAAATAAAAAATTTATCAAACTTTGCTGCTTTATTTATTATTATTTACCATCAGTTGCTATTAAAGGGTAAACTTTTTTTTACCAATTATAGAATACAATTACCAATATTTTGTTGAGGTTAAAAGCTATATAGCAACAAACATATGCTTTATATGTATTGTCTTATGTTTGCAATTTTTCTTGTTTCAACCTTTTTACACTTAGCTCTGCATAAAGGTGTGGTAAGTTAAGGGTTATTCCTTTTTGTAACCAGTTTACTATATCAAAACAAACATGTGGACATCAGGTTATAAATTTTTTCTTATAGCTTATTATGCTACAATGTTTTGTAATCTTTTATTACTATACATTACCTAAATCTAAATCAGCTCTTGCTTACAGTTGTTTTTAATTTGAGAGTGTTGCAAATTATCTGGGCTAGCTACAACAAGCAATAAT